TTCCTATATTTGTTTAAATTTATATGACATGCACACCCCTCCCCTTATTCTCCTTTATTTGTTTAAACTGCTATGACATGCACATCCCTCCCCTTATTCTCCTTTATTTGTTATGATATGTATGACCTCTCTTCATTTCCTTTATCGTGTCTAAGATTACTATATCATGATCCTCCCGTCCCTATTTCCCTACTTGCTTAATTACGTTCCCGCACATTTTCATGAGCTAAACTGACTTCTCTTTTTGTCTTTGTTTTCTTTTCTCTTCTTTTCACTTTCACCTTTTGCTATGTTATTTACTGCTTTTATGTATTCTTAACAAGAAAATACTTGGAAATGTGTTACTATTTCTACATAATGCATGCTCCACATCATACTCCACTCATACCTATTATCAACAGAGCGGTGCTTGATGAGTGTCCGCACTTTCCTGAAATCACCCTTTTAAATCGAAAAGGCTTATTTGCGGTTGACTAGTCGATCAATGATGTAGTCGACGGTCCCATGCCTTTCCCTCTCAAGTTGTCCACTTAAGAGTACCAGTCTAGACCCTTCTAGAAACTATACTCCGATTTGAAATGTACATGCATCATGCTAAACCTAGTACGGATTGAGACGTCATTGACGTAACAACCCACTTATATAAAACCTTGTCCAAAGTCCGAGGGGATTTCCACAATCCCAATGGATACTATCATATTATGTGCATCATTTGGAGAAAATGTGCCAACATGTTGATCATTACTGCGTAAGTAGTCGAATATGGAGGGGAAAAGGGATAACCTTTGTTTGTCTACATAAAATGAAGCACGAAATCCCTAGGTTCGGTATGGTCCAGAACATCCCGCCTTTGCTACTTGACTGGTGGAAAGACCTTGCACCTTGTGCTAAAAATCATGTGAGGAGAGTACTTGGTGACCTGCTATCTTTGATGAACATTTGACCAAATAGGGAACTGATCGAGGCTACTACTACGTTCTGGGATGCGAAAAGAGCTATTTTCGATTTGGAAATATAGAAATGACTCCTCTCCTAGAATAAATAGGGGGTTTCTCCAAGTTTCCATGGGATAATCCAGGACTACTGGTGCCAGAAAATCGCACTCCCCGCGGTTTTCTGAAAATATTCGGTTTTAAGAAGAATGATGAATTGCTCTGTCTAAAAAAGTCATACATTCCTTTTGAGTTTCTCTACGAGCGTTATGGGCATAGAAAATCATATCGCCTTCATCATGACGAACTAACCATTACTTCCTTAGTATGGGTGCATCGCCGAGTTTATGTGTTCATTGTCTGCTTCTTGGGGTTATTGATATTTCCGATGCAAGGAGGAAGGATTCATACTCTCTTAGCCATGGTCTCCAGGACCTTAATGGATGGCAACGAAGGACCAATTTACACTATGATCCCCATGATATTAGCTGAGATGTACCGTGCTCTGGATCGATACAAGTAGGGATTCAGACATTTTGAGGGTTGTAATCTATTTCTACAAGTTTGGCTGCTGGAACACTTTAAGAGGGGAGAGTACCGTCAAGAGCTTCTGCGAAGGCCATTGAATGTCTATATAGCCAACCATCACCTAAAAAAAATGACGTTTATTCCAGAAAAGTTTGCAAAGCCTGGAAATATTGCAGGTTGGGTGCATTTCTTCAGCAATCTGACAGACGAGCAGGTGCATTGGATGTTTGAATGGTTTCCTAGTAGTGATTTCATCATCCGATCAAAAGGGACTACTTACTTGGTCCTGATCGGGCTGCGAGGCATCTATCCTTATGCCCCTATAAGGGTAATGAGGTAAGCTGGAAGAAAACAAGTCATACCTCGGGTTTCCAACATAGTCCATTACAAGGCAGATTTCAAGGGAGATTTCATCCCATTTAAGTTCAAAGCATAACACATGTGGAACCAAAAGATCATCGTGGAAGGAGAAACCATTGAGCCAGACGGATATCATGCCGGCCATATGTACTACTATCTATCATGGTTAGAAGACGACATAGCTGGGGATGTCAAACCAGGAGTCAATATGAAGAATAGGATCATAGATGAAGTGGTTGAGGCGCAGGTAAAGTACAAGAGGCTACGCAAAAGGGTGTTCGAATCCGAAGCTAAGCATTTGGAGCAACATAAGGCAAACATGGAGGCGATAAGGGAATGGAAAGAGATTGCCACTAAGTCAATGGAGAGACTAGAATACTTGGAGCAAGGACTGATGGAGCTAGAAGGTAAGATGAGGAAGAGACATTGGGATTGTCAGGGCATGGACGACGATGAAGGAGGAAAGTTGGCAAAAGCTTACTTATTGCTGGACATGCGCGATTTGGGGAACATGATTGATGGGGTCAAGAGATCCAAGTATGGAGAAGGTCCTTCAGGGACCAAGTAGATTAGGAGATGATACTCTTTACTACTTTCTAGCTTAGATTAGATTTCGATGTAATAAGGCCTAATGCCATTAGTGACTTCATTACTATTGTTGATTTAGTGAAAGTTTGTTTTGGCTTATTATCGCATTAATGAAATGAAGCAAAGTTGGCATCAATTTTCTCCAAATCTATGTGTCACTTAGTCTTACCTCAAGCACAATGAGGTCCCCCAAATTAGGACGCGAATTATTGCATGACTTTGTGAAACATGTTTAAATATTGTGAACACTTTTTATTTCACCTTGCTGACTTGGTTACCTTTTATTTTTTCTTTCTTTTTGATTATTCCCATTCTCAAAGGTTGGTTCGTGCATAATGACATCATCAGCATACCACACGAGATCCAGAGGTCCTCCACCTCCTCCTCCACCTAGCGACCCGAAAAGCAAAAGCAAGGGCAAAGAGAAAATGGATGATTTAAGTGGTATCCGAAAAGATAATGTTGTTGTGGTGGAAAATGTTGAAACTTTAGATGGTAGAAGCACTCCGGGGTAGAATGAGTTAGTCTTATATTTGGAGCAGAAAATCCTGGAACTACAGGGCGAGCTTGAGAAGGTCCAAAATCTGGCAAACTTTTCCCTTACTCTCAATATTCCCGACATCAACCAGCAAAACCCAGTTCTACCCAGAACCAAACACCGCCACAAAATAAACAAAACCAGAATCCACTACCCATAGCTCCAAATCCTCCTACACCACACCAGTATCATAATCCCGTACCTCCCCAGAACCTTAACCCACCACCAGTGCAAACCCCTCAATAACATTACTATTATCAAACTCAATACCTGCAAACCACTACTTATCACGCTCCCCAAAATGTACTGCAACCTACTCTCGATCCACAAAATTCAACCAACGACCACCCATATATCCAAGTTCCAGGAACTTATCAAAGCAATCCGATATATGTGAAAACCCTACTCCATACCCCATAGAAAACCCTATACATACCCGAACTGACTGAGAAGGACATGTTCATTAGAAACATGGCGGAGGAACTCAAGAAACTCATAGGGAGAGTCCAGAGTGTTGAAGGTGGGAAAGGCGTAGAAGGTCTGAATTATGAAGATTTGTGTATTTAGCCACATGTGGAACTGCCAGAGGGTTACAAACCTCCAAATTTTGAAATGTTCGATGGCACTGGTGATCCGAAGGTGCATCTACGAACATACTATGGCAAGCTTATAGGAATAGGTAAGAATGAACAAATCCGCATGAAGTTGTTCATGCGAAGTCTTACAGGAGATTCCTTGTCTTGGTATATCAGTTAAAACCCAAAGAAATGGGTAAATTGGGTAAGTATGGCATCAGACTTCATGGACAGATTCAGGTTCAACAAAGAAAATGCGCCATATATTTTCTATATTCAAAACCTCAAGAAGAAGCCGACAAAAACCTTCCATGAGTATGCTACTTATTGGAGATCAGAGGCCGCAAAGGTAAGGCCCGCACTCGACGAAGAACAAATGAACAAGTTCTTTGTTAGAGCTCAAGATCTGCAATATTATGAATGATTGATGGTCATCGAGAATCATAGTTCTCAGACATCATCAAGTTGGGAGAGAGAATAGAAAAAGGAATCAAGAGCGGGATGGTGACTAATTTTGAGGCGCTGCAAGCCACAAATAAAGCCTTACAATCAGGAGGTATTTCACAGAAGAAAGAAGTGGGTAATATGATGGTAGCACATGGCCCTAAGTATCCCCTCACATACCAAACACCTCCATCTACATATCAACCTTCACCCCCAAAATACCAATACCCTGCCACCACCTACCATACCTACAAACCTCAACCTGCATATTACCATTCACCTCCACCCGACCGCTAAAACTACCCAATGCCACATCCACATTTTGACCGCAGAACTCCTAGACAATACACCCCAATTGCTGAACCCATAGCCCAACTGCATCAGAGACTGAAGGTCGCTGGTTACATCACCCATATTCCTGCTATTGTTGTGGAAAATCCTTCCCAATGGATCAACCGTAACAAAACATGTGCTTATCATTCAGGCATAAAGGGTCATACCATGCTGCACATTGAAAGATAAGATTCAGGCATTGATCGACACTAAGGTTATTCAAGCAAAGGAAGTTGTACTGAATATCAACAATAACCCTCTCCCGGATCACAGATGTGTGGGAGTGAACATGATAGAAACTGACGAGTAATCGGATCGGGAGGGGTCCATCGGACTCATTCGAGATGGGGACACTCCTAAAAATTCTCCGGTCACCCTCACTCCAGTTGTGGTACAAACCCAGGCGCTATTTGAAGTTGAGGTAGCTACACCATTCACTGTAATAGTAGCTCCCACACCATCGTACAAGTTTGATGCCGTCCCATGGGATTATGTTGTAAAAGCAAGAAGAAAGGGAAAAGACAAAATGGAAGAAACAGGTATCGTGCAAGGTATGACTAGAACTGGCAGAATTTACACACCTGAGAATCTGGGAAGATTTGAGGCAAATTTGTTGATTTTTCTCATAATTTGAAACTCTAATTTTGATTTCTATCAAATTCTGCTATACTTTCTTTTTCTATGGGTTCGACTGTCGAAGACATGTCTAGTAGTTCTGGTGTAACTGATAATTCTACTGTGACACATTCCTCTCCATTATATCTGCTTCCGTCTGATTCACCTGGTACAATTTTGGTGACCACGACTTTTGATGGCACTAGCTGTGGAAGTTGGCATCGAGGAATGTTGTTAGGCCTCTCATGTAAGAATAAACTGGGGCTGATCAATGGGACAGTTGCACGACCTAGTTCTACCTCTCTTTTGTTCGAACCTTGGATTAGGTATAACGATATGGTTGTAGCCTGGATCCTAAATAGTTTAGATAGGGAAATTAGGGAGACTGTGATGTACACTGAAAGTGCTGAAAAACTTTGGAAGGAGATTGAGCGTAGATTTGTCAAGCTAGTGGAATTAAGATTTTTCAGATTCGTAAGTAAATTTCCTCGATTACCCAAGGTTCTTCAAGCATTTTATCATATTTTAACAGAATTAAAAATCTTTGGGATGAGCTTTCTTTCTCTGTATCATATCCTGATTGTGTTTGTGGATGCAAGGAGACCTACTAAAGGTTAGATGAAGAACAGAAGGTTCATCAATTTTTAATGGGTTTGAACGAATCATATCCCACTATTAGGAGAAACATACTTATGATGAAACCTTTACCTGATGTGGATAGTATGTACTTGATGCTTATTAATGAGGAGAGCCAGTCTGGTATTCAAGCTAATGTGCCATCTCTCAATTCTAATCCTGTTGCCTTCTCTACTGGTGTTCAGAAGCCATTCTCTCAAAGAGTTAATTTTGACTCTCAAAGAGCTGGTCTCGACCCTTCTAGAAAGAACAATATTATTTGTCGATATTGCAAGAAGCCTGGTCATCAGATTGACAAATGCTACAAGCTTCATGGTTATCCTCCTAGTTTTCAGACTAAGTTCAAACGGACTACAACATTTGCTCAAGTGTCAGATTCTCAACCCATTGGGCACCCTGAAAATTCTACTGGTGATAATAAAATAGTTCAATCTAATGGTGGGATCTCTAGTATAACCAAGGAACAGTTTGATCAATTATTGAGTCTTCTGCATTCTCGAGCTTCTGGGACATCACAAGAGATCTCTGCTGGTTTTGCCAACTTTACAGGTCTGATAGGTAATCCTAATTTCAAATCTTATGGTTTGCTTTCTTGCAATTTTTCTAGGGTAGAAGATAGCCCTTGGATCATAGATTCGGGGGCAACCCATCACATGACCCCACACTCTTCCTTTCTAACTGACATTAAACCTCTAGTCTTACCTTATCTCATCACTTTACCAAATGGTTATAAGGTAAAGGTGACTTGCACATGTACTCTTACCTTGTCCTCTGAAATAGCTCTAACTCATGTTCTCTTAGTGCCCTCGTTTCAGTATAATCTCATTTTCCTTGCTCAACTAGTTTTACAACTGAATTGTTTGGATTATTTCTCCTCTATTGCTTGTGTTTTGCAGGGTCTTTCTCTGAAGAAGCCAGTGTCTCTTGGTAGTCTTCAGAATGGGCTCTATATTCTCAATCATGTAAACCTTGTTGCATCTAAGTCTACTTTTCACCCTTCATTTGTAAATACCATTACTGCCTCCACTTTGCATGATTTGAATAAGAGCAGTAGTTCTACTTCTAATCTTGCATCTTCTGTATCTGTGAATGCTGATGTTTCTTATGCTATTCAATTTCATGTGTTGTCTTTTGACCATTCTTGGCATCTGAGACTTGGACACATGCCCTTTAATAAAATGAAGTCTACTCCTTTCTTGTTTGATAAACTGCGAAAGAAACAAACATTTTTGTGTCCTATTTGCCCCAAGGCTAGGCAACAAAGGCTTCCCTTTCCTGAAAGTAAAATACACTGCACTTCTCCTTTTCAACTAATATACATAGATCTTTGGGGACCTTATCACACACAAACATATAATGGGTTCAAATACTTTATGACTATTGTGGATGATTTCTCTAGGGCTACCTGGACACTTTTACTATCTTCAAAGAGCAGTGCTTTCACCTTGTTACAGTCCTTTGTGCTAATGATCAAGAGTCAATTTGATGCCTTGGTCAAAGTAGTGAGGTCTGATAATGCCTTTGAGTTGGGTTCTAGCTCAGCAGCTCAGTCCTTCTTCTCTGCCCATGGAATTCTACACCAAACCTACTGTCCACATACACCACAACAAAATGGTGTTGTGGAGAGGAAACATAAACACCTTCTTGAAACTCCTAGGGCACTTCTATTTCAGTCCAAACTCCCTGTTAAGTATTGGGGTGAGTGTATCTTGACTGCCACTTACCTCATAAATAGATTTCCCTCACCTTTGTTAAATAACAAGGCTCCTTTTGAGTTACTCTATGGTATTGCTCCTTCTGTCACTCACTTTAGGACATTTGGTTGCCTTTGCTTTGCTGCAGTCCCCAAACCATATAGAGATAAATTCAAATCAAGATCCATTCCATCTATTTTTCTTGGTTACAGTGCTGGCAAGAAGAGTTATAAACTACTATCATTGTCCAATTCCAGTATTTTCCGCTCCAGAGATGTTGTCTTTCATGAAACTGTCTTTCTTCACTCTTCTCCTGATTCTATTCATTTATTTCCTCCTTCTACTTTCTCTCCCTCTTCAGTCCCTTCTTCCTCTCCTAGTCCTGTTAGTCATCCTGGCCATAGTTGTTCTACTCCTATTTCTCCTCCTGGTTCTTCTGATCCCTCTTCTTCGCCTTGTAGTACTCTTAGTCCTTCCTCTCCTTCTCCTGTTCTTCCTCCTGTACTGAGAAGGTCTTTAAGAACTCACAATCCTCCTTCCTACCTTGGTGACTATGTTTGTTTCTCTGCCTCTAGTTCTAAGGTTCCTTCACCCTCTGATCTTTGTTTGCAAGAACCATAATTTTACCATCAAGCTGCCTCCAATCCTGTTTGGCCGAAGGCTATTATGAAAGAGTTTTAAGCTTTGGAGGCTAACAATACTTGGGATATTCTTCCTCTACCTCCTAGTAAGAAAGTCATCCCTTGCAAATGGGTCTATAAGATAAAACAGAGGGCTGATGGTTCAGTTGAAAGATACAAAACTAGGTTGGTGATTAGGGGTGATAATCAGTTAGAAGGAGTAGACTTCACTGAAACTTTCTCTCGTGTGCTTAAATTGACAACTATTAAATGTCTCCTATCTGTAGCCATTAAAAGGAATTGGGTTGTGTACCAACTTGATGTCAACAATGCTTTCCTCCATGGAGTTTTGGATGAAGAGGTATTCATGAAAATCTCTCAAGGCTTGGTTGTTTCCACCTCTACCTCTGTTCCTATTTATTCATTAGCTTGCAAATTAAATAAGTCCCTTTATGGCCTTAGGCAAGCCTCAAGGCAATGGTATGCTAAGCTTTCCCCTGCTCTTCAATCTAAGGGTTTCCAACCTAGCATGAATGACTATTCCCTATTCAGAAAATTAAAGGGGGCTCATCTCACTGTAGTAGTTGTTTACGTGGATGATATACTATTGGCTGGGGATGCTGTGTCTGAGTTGACTTCTTTGAAAGAGTTCTTAGATGCCCAGTTTAAGATCAAGGACCTTGGTGAGATTCACTATTTCCTTGGGCTTGAGGTTATTAAAATGCCTCAAGGATACTTGATCAGTCAACATAAGTTTGCTTTGGATTTGCTCTCTGATTTTCAATATTCTGCAGTTACACCTGTGGTAGCCCCCTTAGACTTTCATGTCAAGTTGTCAACTGAAGTTGGGGATTTGCTACCTGATCCCTCTGTCTACAGAAAGTTGGTAGGCAAACTTAATTACTTGCAACATACCATACCTGAGTCAATATATGTCTGCTCCTAGAGTTCCTCATTTGGAGGCTGCTTATCATGTTCTTAGATATGTGGCTAGCACCTCTGATTTGGGTATTATGCTTTCTAGCAATCCTGATTTTTCTTTGCATGGTTTTTGTGACTATGTCTGGGCTAGTTGTGCCGATAGTAGAAAGTGTGTTTCTGGTTTTGTGTTGTTTCTTGGAGGCTGCCCAGTTTCTTGGAAGTCCAAAAAGCAGCCTACTCTTGTTTTGTCCTCTGTTGAAGCAGAGTATAGAGCTGTTCGTTTGTTGGTAGCTGAAGTTACTTGGGTAGTTCGATTGCTGGGTGAGCTGGGTGTGGATAATCTCAGCCTTGTTGCTTTGTACTGTGATAATTAAGCTGCAGTCAATATAGCCAAGAATCCCGTCTTTCACGAGCGGACCAAACATATCGAGGTGGATTGCCATTTTGTACGGGATGCCTTGTCTGATGGTTTGGTTTTGTTGCATTCTATTTCTATATTTGCTCAACTTGCTGATATATTTACTAAATCTTTGCTTGGTGTGCAGCAACAGGCTTTTCTTCCCAAGCTTGGAATGGCCAGCCCTTCCAGCTTGTCGGGGGGTGTTGGAGCTGAAGTTAGTAGTGTTAAGTAGTCAAGATGGGCCAGCCCATCTGTAATTATGTTATTCTTATTTTGGCCCATTAAGTGAACGGCCCAATTGTATGGTGTACATATGAGACCTCTTACAATGTATTAGAGGAACAATTCTTTTTTGGAAATAATACTCTTCACATTTTCTCCCAAATATCTCTTTGTACAGCTACGTGTTAGGGTTCGATCATCTCTTTGTCAATGTCGATTATCTCTAGATTCACCTGTTAACAAAAGGAAGCGAAGAAAGCAACTCACAAGGGGGAAAATTCTAAAGAGATAATACAAGAGAAGAGCGGCTGAAGTAAAAGAAAAAGGTATTCATTATCTTTAACATTTACTTGACAGTGACAACTTGTATTTTGCTGCAGAAATGGCTCGAATATGGGCATAGGTTATGATTAAGCCGCTTGCATTAAGTTAAGCCACGCCAAGGAGATGGACCTGTGTGATTTATTCAGTATTTCCAATTGGAACAATTAATAAGGTAAGATTTCCTGTCATCATATAAGCTTAATTTCCTGCTTCTATGCTGTTTGGTTTACCTGATTGTGTCGTTTATTGTATCTATTACATGCTTGCAATGAGAATTAAATTATACTCCAATCAGGATAGGACATAGACTTCTTTACTTTAGCACAATGCCAATCCCATGATGCATCATTACGCAGGCAAGACATTTAAATCCTAAAAGAACAAGTACAGAGAAAATTTAGGGCGCTGAGAATAGTGTATACTGTAGTTACGAGATGTACGGCTCAAACATAACTAGAACCGCTTCACATGCAAGCTTTTGCATTTCCACATATATCTTGTTCTTGTTCAATTTTCTACGGACGAGGAATTTCTAAAAACTTGTGCTTTCTGCTGGTAATACTAAAGTTTCTAACTTTTGCCAACAAAATGGAAGTTGTCCTGTTATCAAAGGAGAAACATGGGTGGCTACAAAATGAAGAAGAGCAAGAATAATTCATGGGAAGCAGCACTATTATCTTCCTTCTTTGTTCTTTCCTTTCCCTCCTGTGGTAATTTGGAACTGATGGTTCCCTTGAAGGATGTCTTTCATTTTTGCCTTTTTTATTAATACAAGCATCGGCTTCAGTAGTGAATTCATTAAATAGGCAACTGGCAGCAATCAACAGACAAAGTTTCTGAAATTTTAGTTGTTGGTTTTGTTGTATTTCTCTAAGAAAGGCAAAGAATTCAAGACCAGTTTGATAGATCTATATTCATTCTTAGTCCATTCCCAAATCCCAATGGATTGCCCACCATAAATGAAATCCTTTTTTTCTAAACTTGCTCTACTTCTCTCTAAACTGTAAATTTGATAGTCTTTTTTTTTTCCTCAAAAATAATAGATGAGGAGGAATGTCAAAAGTCTCATTGATCACCAGGAACCTTTTCAATTACTCCTATTACACATGGAGAGAACATACACATATATAAAAGAGCATCCAGAGCTAAAAACTTTAAGATTGACCGATACAGATAATTTTCCTAAACCAAGTTGGAAGAAGAAGAAGAAAGAGTTGGAAGAAAGATGAGAGGAGTTGGTATTAATAAGTTATATAGTGTTCCACATCAGGTACAACAAGGCATTTAAAGGGTCTACATATATTTTGAGACTTTCCTCCCATAGTGTCTCATTCCATTTATAGCATATCTTTTCAAGCTTGAACTATGTAAATACAAATCGCAAAAAGGGAAGCCTGGGGTACTAAGCTCCAGGTATGCGCAGGTTCTGGAAAAGGGCCAGACCAATATTTAATAGATCTATTGTACAGTCTTACTTTGTATTTCTGAAAGAGGTTGTTTCCAAACCCCTGGCCTCCTGGTCACACGACGACAACTCTTACCATTGCGCCTAGGCTCTCGTTCCTTCTAGTATAAATAAAATGTACATGAAATATGAAAGTATGTTCTAATCCACTGTTGAGATTTCTTGTGACAAGGTTTCAGAATCCTGTACTTTCTTAGAGTGTCCGAGTAGGCTAAGAGATGCCTCATCAGCAACAACCTGATCAAGTTCAGTAGCTGCTGATTGGTCCTCAAGAATATCGTTAGAATGTCCTAATGGTTCATCTGTACTAATAAAATGGCACCAGTTTTTCTCCTTTGCATGAACTATGGCAGGATACAAGAATAACCCCAGAATAATGACTGAGCCACTTACTATATATGTCTTTAACGAAGCCAGATACATGACAAAAAGAAGCAACAAAGCTGGTGGAAGGCAAATCGCCGTTGCTCCAAATGTTTGAAAGGGGACCTTATAAGGTCTGTGAAGATCAGGCTTCACTATCCTTAATTTTATGAAGGCTGCAAACTCGAGAAGCATTCCTACTGAATAGAGGAAGTTAAGAAATTCCAAGATTTCTTGAAAACTCATCCATGACAGAAAGATCACACCTGTTGCGGAGCATAAGATGCTGATAGTGGGTGTCCCATATTTTGATCTGCAAGATTTGAAGTATAGTGACTTATCTTGTGATAATAGACTCACAATGCCAAAAAGGCCAACCTGTAAATTTGCCTTCTCCCTCTTTTGGTTGATACTCAAATGTCCGGTTTAATTTATAAAAACCATAAATAACAAGTTAAGAGTTCTTTTCATCTTTTATCATACTGCATATTTCCTAACCAGATCAATGTACTGGAATTCCATCAACTGGGACACACTAAGATTCCCTACTTTTAATCATCTCAGTTAAATAAATATCTAAGAGCCTAAGATGAAGGTAGTTTTACTTATATTTCCTCTTTTCGCGGAGCATTTGAAGCTCTAATATCACTAGGTCATGCTAGGAAAAGCTCTATCTTGTAGTAATTTACAAATGCTTACTATTAGAAACATCATAAAAAGAATCAATGGGGAAATTGCTCAAACCTCGAAGCAAATATAGAAGGAAGCATTCCCATTTCGCTCATCCCAAGAAGTTGGAAGGCATCACTACTCATTTCAGCTTCAAACAACCCCAAATTAGACATTGCAGCTGCAGCCTGGATCCACCATTTCAGCCAAACGCCACCAATCAACATTCCAGCTTCTGCAAAATAACCATCACTCCACTCACTAGGATTAGACTTTAAAGCTCCTGTTGCAGCCAGTAGTGGAATAATATACGAACAAACCACCAAAACTACAGCCGCGAGCAACGCGTCTCGAAACGTTCTACTAGGGTCTTCAACCTCCCCTGCTAAAGTACTGACCTTATCCCAGTAATTAAGATTCCAAAACATGGTATTAAAGTACCCTCTCCATTCAACCTTGTTGAAATCCACAACAATCCACTGTCCTGGTCTGATCCGAGGAATCGAGAGAATCGCCATTACAACAAACGGAAAAAGGGAAAAACTTGCAAGCAAAACAGCTGAAGAACCAACAATATGGAGGCCTCTATAATTCAAGTACGTCAAAGACACTGTAATAACTAACAGGGCTGGAATTCTTGCAACCAAGTGATTAAAAAGAGGCAACGAATGCTTCAAGTAATCGAGGAACAATACAGGGTAAAGAGCATTATCCATGACACCACTAAACCATTTCCAGAAGCCTTCTTGAAAGCCCCAGAAAGGGCCAAAAGCTGAAGATATCCAAATGACATAGCCACCATTTTCAGGGAAACTTGTGGCTAGCTCAGCTGTGATTAGTGCTTCAGGTATGCTCCAAATTAAAGCGAAAATCACGAAACCAAGTAAAGCTAGCAAAGGGCCACCCCCTGCTTTAACTGAATCTTCTACACCAAAAGGCCCCCCTGAAACTTCATAGAAAATCAGAGCAATAAGAGGCAATAAAGTTAGTTTTGGATTTTTCTTGATTGTTGCAGTGTTCTTGACATCATTCACCATTCCCTCAGATTAACATAAGATGGGAAGGAGAAAAAGTCAACCCCAAGATTGCGAATCTGGAGATCCTAATTCTATGGAAAGTATTTGGGTGCTATATAGCATGTGTAAAGAGAATTCCTTAAGTATTATTATGTGAATTACCTACTAAAGTTACTTTTATTTATTTTAGGACAATAAAATCACTCAAATTTGATTTTTTTGAGAGACGCCACTTTTATCCTTGGGAGACATCACTTTTCCGGCTAAAACACTTTGTAGGATAACTCTCTAGAGTTGAGTGATTTTGTTGTTCTAAAATAAACAAAAGTTACTTTAATAGATAATTTTCAATACTTGAATGATCATAAAAAGGAATTATGCAGTAAAAAGTTGAAGATTTCCTTGATATTATGTGTTTATGTTAGGAATAAGAGAGAGCTTTAGTTTAAGTTCAAGATGGTAAGTTTCATGTTAATAAATATTTTCCTGTATCATACTGGTACATTATTTTTACTTCACTTCTTTGAGGTTTGTCCTAAATTCTAACAAGTCTTGGTTGTACTAAGCAATGTTATTTATAGGAATATTTTACATGTTCTAACTACTGGCATATTTTGTTCAATGGCAGGTGAAGATGTACATTTTATTTGGTGTCTTCAGTTTGTTACATTTTATGGACAATCCGTTAGGACTGGGGGATAATTTTTAAAAATTTGTAAATGATAGAGATATATCAGGTCGGATAGTATAATAGTAAGGATAAATTTGACCGGATAATATAATAGAAATTAAATATAAATAATATGGGAGAGTAAAAGGGTAAGTTTGACCCTTTTCCCTTATAAAAATATCATCTCTCTTTTTTTCTTGTTGAATTCACTGCGAGGAAGAAGTGGACAGAGTTGACAAAATGAGAATATGTGTCATGCACGTGCTTTGCAGAAAGGACCGGGTCGTTCTTTGATTCTCTCGCCAGGAATGGTGAGCCACAACTTGCTTCTGGTCTTGACTTTTAAATTGCACATTTACACTCGATCCCTTTATCTTTTTACATACAGCGACAGGAAAGTGAACGAATGATATTCCAATATCTCCGTTATTTTTATATTTCAATCACTAAATGCCATTGAAGTTTTGGAAAAGTTGCAGATCTCCTTGGGAGAAGCGCACAATTTCTCGTTGTCAACAATTTCATTAGTTTTTTGTTAACGAAGTTATTAGTAATAGCTCTAGCATATACTATAAGTTTTTGCACCTTAGATCATTTTTGTAATTTCTTTCCCTGTATCATCCATGTTGACATACTGGCTAAAAATTTGGAATCCGGGGCTCTTCAATGCTGTTCTTTATCTCTTTGAATTCTTGAAGATGATAATCATATCCAATTTACGCAACTCCACTTGATAACCTCTTCTTGTGTCAATTTACAAAGATGTCCAGATTAATAGAGAGTAGCCCAATTTTACCAGCAAAACCACACTTCTTAACTCTAATCCTTTGTCTTCAGACGTATCTTACATTGTTCCCATTCTTACTCCAACTTGTGCTTCCCTCTTTTTACTGGATATCTTTTTTTTTTTAAGGCACTTTTGGCTGTTTGAGACAAAGCCTACAGTTTCCCTGTGATCGATGCGTCATGGGGTAAAACACGTTGAATCACACTCTTCCAAGATGAAAGCCTATAACCGCTGGCTATTGTACAAAGTTTTAACCTTTGACATTAAAAAGTGAGTTGTGTCTACCGTATTTGGTTGTGATAGACTTTAAACTTCGAAAGCACTCAGACAATTTTTCCAGCTATACTTTACAAAACTAGCTTTACCAATAGCCTTCTTGTACTACCTGTCAATAATAATTTGGTTCGGATGGTAACCTTAGGGGAACTTAATTGTCCTTAGTTTTACGCTCACAACAGCTTTGCTGTAATTAGATTTTAAAACGTGATACAATTTATTGAATTTAACTGATAATAACTCAATGAAGCAAAAAGGTATTCAGATGCGGTGAATGCTCCTGAATCTTTTCGGCATACGATGGGTGGTGTTTAGAAAGGAATAAAAAATGTTTTGAAGGGAAAGCAACACCCATCACTTTTGTAAAGTTCAGATGTATTAACTGAAACTTTTGCTTATTGAAAGTAACTTCTTGGTGCTCAGTCTATTCAACAAACTATTTCGCTTACATAAAAAGAAGTAGCTAATATGGCAATATCTAAGATAAAGATGCCATGATCCAAAATTAATCCTCTCTTAACCCATTTTCCTATAGGAGAAATCAGTTTGAAGAAAATCTTTGAACAACCTAACATCACAAGCATTAAAGAGAAGAGGGAATGATTAGTTCCCAGACGTAGAACCCTCTGCTCTGTTACCTGCAATTTCTATACACTCCGCTGCTCGTAAAGGTGGAGGTTCATTAAACTTTAGTACGTAGGCAGTGAAATGAACAGACTGCAATGGCATTATTACTTGAGCATCTAAATATGCATTGCAGGAGAAACACCATACTGATAAATCACTGCTCCAGAAAAGGAAAAGGAAATTCCAGTAAAAACGTACATCTTTAGCTCAAACATGTGCGTATTCACAAAGACAAATGAATTGACAAAAAGTAGTATTGTGTTGTCAGAGAAGTTACCTAAAGCTGAGTGCAATAGAGTGATTGCTCTGCTTGTAATGCTCGAGCATGTGCTTATTAACAAATCGACTGCAAAGAACCTCCTTGCAGCACAAACATAGCCAGTTCTCTGCTGGGTGTTGACACCTTACAAAAACAAATTCACACACTGTCACCAAATTTCTTTGCTTCTAAAAACAATATCCATTTAGCTAACTCAAGCCAGCATAGAAGGTTTAATAGTAAAGTCAGCCGTAGAAAATAAAAACTAGTCTTTCCTGAGATTGGAATAACTATACGTGATTATCATACAGATGGATGGAAGTCTATAAATACATGCAACTACACCTTGTATGGGCTATTAATTCCAATATATAGAGTTAAAAACAACAGAATTGAGAGTGACTAGCCACTACTTTCCTTAATAAGCTAGTGAGTATGAAATAA